TATATAGTATACTATTATGATATCAGTATATATATATATTATATTAGGAGTAGATAATAACCCTATTATCTACTCCTGATATATATATAATATAATATATTTAGTATATCATATATAGGGTGATATTATAATATATGTAGCTACGATGTGCAGTTGGCGTAAATGCACATGAACCATTGCTATCATCAATACATATAGTCAAACGAACGAATGTTCTATATATCATCATCATCATATCTCTATAGTTTTACACGCGTCGGCAGAATCATCACCGAGGTTTATTGGAAAACATATTGAAGCGTCTCTTGCGGCTGCACGTTCACGAGCTTTGATCTAGTCATCGAATCAACTTATATATCTAGCCGCTTGTACGCTCCATCGAGTCTGAATTGCACGCATTTACTGCAAATTGTGTGGCGCGGGTAATGTGCAGCTACTAGCTGCCTCAGTCGCTTCTGTAGAAAAACTATCGTGTCCAGAACGACAGTATAATCAGTAGACAGGCTTATTCGGACGCAATATATCCGAGAGCTACATATAGCTGCACAATCACAACTACGGCTAAATTACAGGACTTCACCCCGTGCGTACATCAGATGTCTGGGTAGTCGATTATGAACATGAAAATAAAAGCTTCGATGAGATCGCGAAAACAGACCTGTGAAATTCGCAGGCGTTCGCGGCGGGTGTTTGTTAATCCAAGATCGACCTGTGCTATGTGGGGAAACGTGGGCGAGTCATGTTTCTTACGGTCATTACCAAAATTTATTTTTTTTTTAGTTAACTCTCATGAGGTAGACGATAAAATATATAATAATTATTAATAATAATAAAAATAAAACAATAAAATAATAGTAGTAGTAGCAGCAACAGTAATAGTATAGTAGTAGTATAGTAGTAGTAGTAGTAGTAGAGTATAGTAGTAGTATCAGTAGTAGTATAGTAGTGGTAGTATAGTAGTAGTGTAGTCAGTAGTAGTAGTAGTAGTAGTAGTAGTAGTAAGTAGTAGTAGTAGTAGTAGTAGTAGTAAGTAGTAGTAGGTGTAGTAGTGAGTGAGTTTAGTGAGTAGTAGTAGTAGGGAGTAGTAGTAGTAGTTGGTAGTAGTATAGTAGTAAATAGTGGTAGTGTAGTAATAATAATAATAATAATAATAATAATAATAATAATAATGAAAGCTAATTACGACCCCGAATTCAAACAAATAAATATGGCATTGTTTTTGTTCATAAATATATGCCAAATTTAATTATCCCTGCAATGCTGGATCGCCGAGTCTTCGTATTGACGGATTGTCGGCGCCTTTACTTTGTTTTCCGGGTATGAGACATTTCCAGAAAAGGAGCGTTCATCCGGGGTTGTTCCTTGTTAGAGACACCCCTATTAAACGAGATTCTAACCAAATTACATTTGTAAAAAATTGAAGAAAATTTCACTCGCAAAATGTCGTTTTTTATACGTACGTTTACGTACGTACGTATGGGTACGTTTTACGTGACACGTGGCAACGGGCAGTATGCAGCGTAGTTTCTCTCGTTCGCCAGGGAGTACATTCGAGGTCGACGCAAAATCGGGTTAATCGGATCAAAAGTTGGTCTGTTCACCTATTCAATGAGTAGGCGAATTTCAATTTTTAATTGTAAACAGAAATGTAAAGTTCCCACGTGCACGCATCATATATAATGATTGCTTTGTTACAATATAATAAGATGTAATTTTTTTATTATATTATGCTATATATCAGTAATATATGGTAACTCATTAGAGTTAAAAGAATCGCAACAAAGGTGTTCGACGTACGTCCATCAGATCACTGAGTTATGCTTATATGTATGCTTGAACCGAAATAAAAACAAATATTTTAAAATTAACATTAATTTTATTTTTAGGGACACCTGATTGCTTTACGCCTATGCACATTTACTACTGCTATATGGGAATGTCTGCAATAATGCGAAAACTGCAGCGAAATGTTAGTATGTCTTTTACGCGCGATTATTGGCCTCGTTATTATTAGACAGGCCCCTCTCTGCAATGTAGATAGAGGGGGGAACGGGGAGGGGGGGGGGGTACATTCCCACTTTCCAGCCAAAAAACACCATATTCCGTGCGCCAGTAAAATAAAATCCCAATTCCAGTTCCCAGGAAATTATGTAGACATTATTTCAGGAAATTCAGTAGTTTAGGTTTTCAAACACTACATATAAATACTAATATTTACATACTATATTTTATCTGGCATAAATTAATAAAAAAATTAATAAATTAAATAAATATTAGCGCAGAAATTGAAATCCCGACGAATTGACACAATTTTCCCAGATCCCAGACAATTTTAGAGGGTCTTTCCACGTCCCGATGGACTTCTGTTCCCTGAATCACGGCGAAAAATTATCTGGACATTTCCCAGTTCCCAGGTAATTAAAATGGCCAATCCCACGTCCCGAAAATACCGTTCCCCCCCCCTCTAGATACATATAATCAGGAGTGAATAAAAATAAATCTAATATATAATCTAATAAATACTCTAGTGAATAATCTATTATGATTCACTCCTGTTATAATATTAATGTATGTCTGCATATATAGTATCAAGAGTGCATAATAGAGATCTCTATTATGCACTCTGATAGTATCAAATATAGCGTCACCGGTGCATTTGCACTATGATAGCGGCTATCGATAGCGGCGATTACTGCCGTCACGTGTACGTGTGACGCATCAGCTGAAATAATATCCCAGAATGCAAACGCAGTGTTATGCTTTTGACGTCACGTGCAGCCATTTGTACGTATTACATGTTTTTGTCTGAGATGTGAGGAAAACGTCGTAACGCAATCTGATTTCGTCGGTAAGTCATGCGTCTTGAAAAGTCAGACAAATGATTTACTTAACTGGTCGACATAAGTATAGATTTGGGTGATTAAATGAGCAGTCGGAATTTATAAGCAGTGTAATTGCAAGTGTTTATGTTGTGTCTTGGGCGTCGTTGTACTTGTTGTTTACCAAAGATAGTCTAAGCGCACCTCGACCAAGATCATCTGTTTATCAGTAAATGACAGTATCGTACGTCGCATAATATGGTTATAGAACCCCCAGTAACTGCGCATCTGATTGTTAAGTATTTTTCCAGTGAGATTTTCAACGCTGCCTATTGAATTTGCTAGTCTGTGGCCTTCATATGTTTTTGTACAGGTAATGTGATTGAAAGCAAAATACGACACGAATAACTCATTAACTGTCAAATAACACCTACCATGACGAGACCCATAAAATATAATGATTCCCATAACTAGGGAGAGAAGAGTTCAGTATGTACGACCAACAAGAAACATGAGACATGCAGCTATATAAAAACCACAATTGCTGTATTTGACAAAATAAAAACTGATGTGCAGTCATTAAAACTAAAAATGGAGCGTGCCACCATACGTCTGAATTAAGGTAATGGACTGACCAAGATAAGGTGTATACCTGTAGGCTGTATAAATAGTTTATAATAGCACGTACAAGCTTGACCTTGACCCTTAGGTCTGGCACTGTTGACACCACTGCTATGCAATATAGATATGTGAGTAATAGCCTATAAAGTAAAAGAAGTAGAAGGATGGAAACTATGTAGTGCTAAAGCTATAGGCCTACCCTTTCCCTACCTTAATCGTAAGCGTTACTAAAGTTGGTAGGATGTATGTGTGCTGCATTCGCCACCATTACTGAATTCCATTAGGATGTTAATTGTCCTACCCCAATTTCATAACATCTCCTGTACTACCTTTTCCATCACCATCACTGCCTCTTCACTCCTCCACACCACCATCACTGCTTGCATAACTGTTCCCCACTACCATTACCGCCTCCACACCCCTCCACACCACCATCACTGCTTGCATAACTGTTCCCCACTACCATTACCGCCTCCACACCCCTCCACACCACCATCACTGCTTCCACATACCTCCCCACTACCATCACTGTTTGCATCACTGGTCCTCACCACCGTCATTGTCTCCACACCCCTCACCTTTACCATTACTGCATGCACGACCATTCCCAACCACCACCACTGCCTGCACCAGCACTCCCCACCACCGACATGGCCTCTACCTCATCCCTGCCACCATCACTGCCTGCACCATCCACCCCCGCCACCACCATTGACGACACGTTCTCTCTTTGTGCTGTTTGAATACATTATTGGAAATAAAGTTGGGATGTTTTAGTTGGGAACTACTTAAAATGAGCAAAATATAAAAACGAGCTATTTTTCCAACCAACTACCTAACTGCCACAACTACCTAAACTGCCCTGGGAGATCCATGAATACTCATTACAAACCCTTGTTAAAGAATGCTTATACCATTGTGATGGGCTATATTATAATTTGAGTAATCTATAGTGGTGTTTGTTGAGTAAGTTTCTCCAACTTGATTTAATCACTTTTCACATTATTGACAAATCATTGAGACAGAATATCTGAAAAGCTTTACAATCTACGTATGTTACATGCATCTATGCAAAAAGCACATATTATATTTACCAACAATAAAACTATAGCTATACGTACTGCATGCTTTATTGCTGCATTTTTCAGAATAAAATTCTCGTCAAACAGTCCATTGTTGATTGGTGTGCGCATAAGGGAATATTACGTTTGCATTTATGTTTTAATTTTGCGGGGTGTGTTTGTGTGTCTGTATGGGAATCGTTATTTTTAACCAATTTTGGTTATTCTGCAGTGCTAAATACATATGATACATGCTGATCTCTTTCAGGGACCGAAATTTTAATTTATATGAAAACAGAAAAACGTTGATCATGCTTGAAGATTCTAGAAGGCACTATCACTCTTCTTCCACTGTGAGAAATGAAGTGGCAAGCATTTTGAATATATACTGGAAGCAAGAAAATTAATTTCAATCTTACTCTGCTGCTGTATTTCGCAAGGTTTTCTTTATGCTAGACTCGACTTGAGTAAACATGCGTTTTAAGTGTTTGCTCGTGTGTTGTGCATTATGGGAGGGTAAACGAGCAAGTGCAAATGAAGTTCAGAATGGAAAACCAGCAAATATATGACTATTGCAAACGAGCACCAATTGAATTGAACATGACGAGCTATCAGCATAAATTCCGTGTCTACATAAACGAATCTGCTGCACACATTGATTGCAGTCGTAATACATCAATAAATGAAGTATAGTTTGCGTGAAGAAATGCCAAAGTAACTTTTGTTGACCAATGACGCATGTTAGGCATGTAGGCGGTATAGACACGAAAGCTAGCCGAAACAATTGTGCACGTGACCAAGAGCGTATTAACTATGCCATGTCAAGTATTAAGTATATTAAGCAGCCATACTTGCTATGCTTTTGATGTGACGGATTTCTGTAACTTATCTATATTGTTAAAGTGATTACGTCACCGTAAATAGTTAAAACTAAAAAATATATTTCTACTTTTTCACAAAATATAAGTAATTAATTCTGATCACTTTTTATGGTTAAATTGCTGCATTATACTTCTTATTTTACTATATTGTTCGATGTGAACATACACTCGTGATGCATACATAGCCCATAGCAAGCAATTAATGTTATTAACACTAATATCAAATCGTCCAGGTTTTTTTTTACTTTTAACTAGCTGAGAAACAATCTCATTAGGTAAGAATTTGACGATACGTTTAGTCCCGTTAGTTCTTACTTTTAATGTAAAAAAATGGCAACAAAAATTTTACAAATTTGACCATAGAAAATTCGAGACGTAATCACTTTAAATGTAATAATATAATATGGGTTTTGACAGTTACTGTATGGTTTGCTACAAAATACATACCATAAATTACGCCGATGCGCGAAAGAGCTGCCGGTGTCGACGTGTCAGTTGATTTGTCCACGTTTGTTTGTTTTGCAGGATGAGTTTCGTGACAATGCCTATAAAGACCTGGCGTGGAAGCACGGCAACATACACCTATCTGCCCCCTGCATCTATTCAGAGGTGATGGAGGCACTGCAGTTGGAGGAAGGCATGTCGTTCATGAACCTGGGCAGTGGAACGGGTTACCTCAGCACCATGGTCGGACTGGTAATAGGTGAGCAAGAGTTATGGCAGCGGGCATGTGTGTAGCAACGCAGTTACCTAGTTGGTAAATACTGTAATGAATATGAAACTGAGAATTAGCGACCATGTAATGTGGGCGTACGGTGTATATTTATGAAACGCAATACATGTACGAATCGTTACATGTTGTTACGTATGAAATGTGAATTCCTTAGCAACTGCTTCCTATTGGAACATGGAAGATGAATCACGGGGGAACCGTTTTTGTGTGGGTAAAGAATAAATTATTCAAACGTAATTGGAGTAGCCGTTTTATGTAGATCCATATGGAATACGAATCGCGGCACACGTTTTGTTTGACTGTGCACGACTTATATAAGCCCACATATTATACTTGCTATATGTACATCATATCGATTTGACTGTGCCACCAGGGTCCCAAATGGAATCATGCAAAACTATATCTGCCCCATAACTCTATTGGTACTCGTTAAGGTCGCTGTAATGTTCTCCCAATCCGATGTTGTACAGCCAATAGCGTTACGCGCGGATGTTAATGGTAATGGCACACTGTCCTGCAGGTCCCTATGGCATAAACCATGGGATTGAGCTTCACGACGATGTCGTTGGTTATTCCAAGCAAAAGTTGGATCTATTCAGACAGAAAGGAAAGTTCTTCGACTGCTACGACCTGTGTGAGCCGAGATTCGTGAAGGGCAACTGTCTCCAGCTAAATTCGGGTGAGCGAGTGTTTGGCGTGGTCAAGTGCTATTGTCTTATAGTATAAGTTATAGACGATGATGATTTCGGGTAGGTTTATTTCTGGGGCAGCGTTCACGCGATTGATATTACATCATGTATGTTACTCTGGCTGAGAGGGTCTATGTCCCCCAGGGTACTGCCGAAACGTACCCTGGGTACGGTCCGGTATACCGGAACGTACCCTGGTACTATCTAATATGCCGGACCAAACCTCGCTCACTCCACTAACGAGTCTAGGGAGTCACCTATGCCTACTCCCTAACCCTAACCCTAACCCTAACCCTAACCCTAACCCTAACCCTAACCATATCAGGTAGTTACCAGGGTACGTTCCGGCAGTACCCTGGGGGACATAGACCCTATGAGCGATATTACATCATGTACGTTACTCTGCGTGTTGCTTGTGGAGTAGTTATGGAATAGAGGAGGGTGTGACTAAGCAAGTGCCTTGATGACGTGGTTCTGGCATCCACAGGCTGCCGTACGTATGACCGGGTTTACTGTGGTGCGGCCTGCCCTCCGGAGCACGAGAACTACATGAAGAACCTTATCAAAGTTGGTGGCATCATTGTTATGCCACTCGAAGATCAGGTGAGCCCTTTAATATTTTTCGTCATGTTATAATTCAGCAGCATCATAGAAGTTGCATAGTTGCATTAGTGCGGTTGCATAGGCGCATTAGTTGTGCAGTTGTCATGTTAGTGGCATTGGCTTCATTGGTCTATTGATAGACATAGCGATTCGCGTACCATCACTGAGTGGAAAACTGTAGTATTTTTGTTATTTATTTTTTTTATTACTTATTAGAGGCTTAACCTCATGAGTTCGGGGAATCCGACAACTCATAGTGGTCGCGAATCCACCGTTTGAATGTCAAACGTTCTCGCTGTTCGCTCGTTTGGTTTCAATATATAGTAGCTAGTATCGTATCATGTTAAATTTAAGAAAGGATATTTTATCTTACAGTTGGCTTGATAGTAGGGAAAGAATATTTACGTGATGTTAGGGTATCATAATGTAATTTACTGTTTATACCTCTGACAGCAGTGAGTTATTATATCAATGCTATAGTTGCATCGAAACTTTATATTCAATTATTTGATATGTGATCTATTCTATAAGAACCATTCTTATTGCACTGCACAATTTAAGCCAGATTGAATTGATCTAATGCAAGTAGACGGATAAAGTGAAATTTTTAATCATAGTGTATTCCTCCGAATAGATGTCCGGCTGTCCAGCATGCACAAGAAATACTTGCTCCAAGTAGCCTTGATGAACCCTGACATTTATGAAACAGACTGCTTATATTGCCACAGCAACAAGCCTCAATCTTCAGCTTCATGCAGTGTGCACTGACTGAGACATTTCGAGTCTCAGACTAAAAATCATGCATTTAATAAGTCAAATTACTGAACTGGCAAATGCGTATCTACTTGCATATCAGAGTGTTAGCTGCATGATTGAGTAGAATTTAATTATATTCAAATTTTATCTTTTACATCTTGTGTAATCTATAAGTCATGACAACAACACTGATGTCTAGCTGTTTATTTGTCTTTCAACAATGTGGCACCAATATGAAGAACTATATTAAAATGCTAATCTTTGTAATTTTAGCGAGGAGGGGATCTGAAATCATCAGGTTGCAACTGAAAAGGAGTGCTAAAAGTCGGGGAAATTAAAGCAGGCAGCTTCACTCACAATCTTAGTATTCCGAATGTAGAATCTCTTTAAAAAAGCAATAATTAATCAGAAAAGAATGAGCACCATGTAAAAGGCATATTATATATATTTCGGAGAATTTCCTTACACAAACTGGACGATTGCCTCTTGCAAAGAATGAGGGACAAACAACCCATAATTAATGAATGCCATATTAATTTTCTATCACTTTAAATTCAGTTTTCTTCAAATTCGTTTTATTTCGACATCAGTGCTCAGTTGACAGACATTGAAGCTGATTGAATAAGAAATCTTTGATCAACTATCCTCTCACTTTGGAACACTGTTATTCCAAGCAAGTTATCCCTGCGTGTCTGATTAGCATAACAGGAATTGTCTAGCGTCGTTAACGGGTTAACTGCAGCTGCATGCATTGGTGTGCACTGATGCAAGGTTGCTTTTTTTACCAGGCTTAGAAGTTTTACCAAGGCAAATATTCACAGAGATTTTCATACAAACACAAATCATTTAAAAGTGTTACTGTAACTGCCTAAAATCAAATCAAATAAAAATTAGATGTAGTGCAACTTACTGCTGTGATAACAGCAGTAGTAGACCAGGTGCAGTGGTATAAGCAGTGGTCGTGGCAGCAGCAGGAGTAGCAGGTGGAGTTGTCATGACATAAACAAAATGAAAATGGTATTTTTGTCCTCATTTTTTTACTATTTATTGCAGATTGATGTGTCTATGTGCTAATGAATGTATGCATGTTTACAGCTGGTTCAGATAAGGAGAGAAAGTCAGACATCTTGGGAAACCAGGAGTGTGCTCCCTGTGTCATTTGCAACCCTTGTATCACCACCCAATGACAATACCTTTGAAAGTCTGGAGCTGCGTAAGTATAATATGCCACAAACGAGCATATTATCTGCAACAAGTAATGCATATTCCAGGGCATGAAATTAGCCAAAATGTAAACAGGCCCACCCAAAATTTTAAACAGGCCATTAGACAAATTGAACAGGCCCTTACAAGTTTGAACAGGCCCTTAATTTTGTTCAATTTATTCCATTATTATTAAAAGTATTAGCTCTGTGTTTATTAGGCATACTTATAATTTTTCAGTATTTCATTGCTATCAGTGGAGTTCTACTTGTTTGGCAGGAATTGCTGGAACATGATCTACTCCTTAGTAGTCGCTCAATAAAAACTAGTCAGGCAAAATTTTGAATAGGCTAAGTGGACTGATTATATGGGTCGTTGAACCGCCGGCCGCCGGCAATATAGCGCTAATTTTGCGCACTGATGTTCTGCTAGTGAAAAGCGAACTGCAAACCTAACTATATGCATCTGTGTTAGAGTATCCTCATGATTCTCTGCCACATGAGAAATTGCAGAAAACAAGATAAAAGGTGGCGCGTGCCCTGCATGGATTGCATCACTTAGAAAAGTGTTAGGCACATTGAGCCTTGACCTAATTCGATTTTGATGATGAACTTATTTATCTACCATTCAGAGCATTTATTGTCACAGACAACATCCTGTGCTGTTATACGTGCTCCTAATCTTTTTCTTGCAATAAAAAATTCCCATGAACCCACCGAACCCATAGGTTGGTAGCTTCCAACAGGGACACCCCAGATTTAAGCTCAGCAGTACTTTAAAATGTACGAGGTGCAGGGGCGTGTACAGGATTTGTACCAGGGGGGGGGGGTCTAACCGTAACCCAAACTTGCGAGCACGTTTTTCAGAAAATTTTTGAAATTAGATCCCCTTAGATGCGTTTTCTGCGCGAGCAGGGGGGGGGGGATGGACCCCCCCCCCTCTGTACACGCCCCCGAGGTGACGTACGAAGTGTTTGTGTTTCAGCGGAGGTGGCGCCACTGTCTCTGCAGGAAATCGCCCGGTTTCGTGTGAGGCAGTGCATTCGATCCATCATAACACAGGAGAACCCGGGCCTGCAGCTGCACAGGAAGAAGAAGAAGAAGAAGCAGCAGCGCCGGCGCCGACTAAGGAAGCTCATTCTTCCGATTATGGAAGAAAGCGACAATGAAGGCTCGTTGTAGTAGCTGTAGTTGTTGTTGTTGTTGTTGTCGTCGTCGTCGTTGTTGTTGTTGTTGTTGTTGTTGTTGTTTTTGCTGTTGTTGGTGCCATTGTTAATGGTGTTAATGGTGGTGGTGGTGGTAGTTGTGGTAGTGGTTACGCGCAACAGCGGTGGTGATAGGTGTGATAGATGGGGTAGCGGTGGTGATAGGTGTGATAGATGGGGTAGCGGTGGTGATAGGTGTGATAGATGGGGTAGCGGTGGTGATAGGTGTGATAGATGGGGGAGCGGTGGANTGTCACTGATAAATCCTAACCTGTTGGTTTTAGTGGCTGATTTTGTCACCTGGATGTGTCATGTCCTGTCCATGTCACCGTCACGTCTCACTGTCGTGTCCTGCTATTGTCACCATAACATTTTAACGTGTTAATTTTAATTCTTGCGTTTGTCACAACGACGTGTCAACATATGTCCTGCCATTGTCACCATAGCATCTTAACGTGTTAATTTTAATTCTTGCCTTTGTCACCACGATATGTCAACATACCATGTCTTGCGTGTGTCATATCCACATCTCAAAATATGGCTTGTTAGTGTCACATCGTCACGTTTCTTGTCCTGCCTGTGCCACCACCACATCTTGTGAGTGACAACGTGTCATGTTCTACCTTTGTCACCTTAAAAGCTCAACATGTCTTTCCTTTGTCACCTTCTGATGGTTTCATTGAGAGTATACACGTTTGCTTTATTTACCATCACATGCCGAAGTAACAAATCTAGGCTACATCTCGAACTTCCACTCCCAAATATTAACATTGAAATTTACTGTATGTGGATATGTAATAACCTACATGATATCACGAGTGTCATAAAATAGACTATAATATCAATATAGATGTCTATATTAGGACACTCATGATGATATCATAGTCACATAGTAGCTATTATAGCATTATTATATACATGACTAGCAACATTAGTCTACTATTAGTAGCATTTATAGTATATAATAGCAATGAACCAATGACATTAATCAAAGTATCGCGCATTGCCTATCGAGCATTTCTATCCGTTTTCTCCTACAGTCGGCGGATATCGACGAACAGGCGCGGTCAGGCGCGAGCGGCAACCTTCAGGAGGAGGCCGTGACTAGCAGTGTGGAGATGGACGACCGCGAGACGGCTGAAGCCGCTAACAAATACAGGCGCACGAACGGTAAACGAAAGCCGACCAACGGCAAGGTCCGTGCGCGAGAGGGCGACCCACCGCAGCCCGCGGCCCGCCGTGAAGGAGACGCGGCGGGGAGGAGCGACGCAGCGAGAGAGAACGACGCGGCGAGAGAGAACGACGCCGAGAGAGAGGATGACGCGGCGAGAGAGAACGACGCGGCGAGAGAGAACGACGCCGAGAGAGAGGATGACGCGTCAGAGAAGAACGAC